GCAGGGAAAGGAGAAAGGAAGGAGGAAATAAAAATAATAACGAGTGGGTTTTAAAAAGCTGTAGACTTGAGCCGGGGATGTAGCTCAGTGGTTCTGCCGCCTGCCTTGCAAGCACAAGGTCCTGAGTTTGATCCCTGGTACAAAAAAAAAAAAAAATGTAGACTTGAAATGAATGATAATACAAATAAATAATACAAAGAGTGAGAATACGTAGAATTAAAATAGTCTAAAATATTTTATTATTCAGCTTTGTGTTTACTGAAAAGAAGTTAAAACATATCCACAAAATGACTTATACAGAAATACACGTTCAGAGAAGCATTATAGGTAATAGCCAGAAACTAGAAACAACCCAACTCAGTGCTGTAGGTGAACTGATAAATTATACCATATTTATACACTGGACTACTACTCAGTAACAAAAATGAAGGAACCACTAAAAACTAAAAACTATGGATGAACCTCACAGGTACAAACATAAGAAGCCAAATTCAAAGGAGATATAATTCCACTTAAATGATGTTCTGGCCAAGCAGAAATGTACTGTGATCTAAAAGTTAGGATAATGGGTATCTGTGGGAATTGAAAACTGGGAAGGGAAAGGGAACTTCTGTGAGGTTGACAAGCTTCTACTTCTTGATATGGTTGATTACAAGTATGTATTTACTTTGCTGGACTTCATCAAGCTCCACACTTAATATTGTGCACTTTTCAACACATATTTCTTACAAAAATAAGTTTTAAAAATAAGTTTGAAAATATATTTGATCATACAAAGAATAACAAAACTTATCCACCACTGATATCAAGAAACAAAACAGTCTCAGTATAGCTGCTTGTGCGCACAATGGTCACACTCCACCCACCCCAGCAGAGATAATCACTTTCCTGAATTTGATGTCCATCATGCCTCTGCATGATTTTATAATCTTACTCCTTACATAAGCTTCCCTAAACAATGTATAAAACTGCTTTGCATATTTTGAAACTACATATAAAGGGTCACTTGGTTTCTATTTTTTAAAAAGAATTTTCTCGGATGAAAATATCCTATATCTTGGCTGCAATTGTGGTTACACAGACTGAAAGTAATTTTAAATGGACCATTCTATCTTCTTCACAGGGACTGGATGGAAAGGTGGACAGAAGTGGAGCTAGGAAGGCCAGTTCGAATTTTCCAGTAGGCCTGGTGACTGCCAAACGCATCTACTGAGGAGTAAGAAAGGAAAGACAGATTGTGCATACAGACCTTGAAGAAGCTTAATTGTGAGTAGAGCAGTAACTAGAGAAAGAAGTAAAGCCAAAGAAAGGTTTCTTCAAGACAGAAGCTCGGGGTTGACCTAGTAGAGAGGAAAAGCTGAAGAGAGACCAGAGATGAGGAATCAATACAGGTAGTTTTTGAAAAGGTGAGAAGATGGAATATAAATTTCAGGTGGTTTGGTCTCTGCTAGGACCAATGTCACCTTGCTTTTAACCGAAAAGAAACAAAAAGAAGAGTGCAATTCAAGAAAGACTGGTTAATGGTGGAAAGATAAATAGTTCCCATCCAATGGTTACCATTTTTTCGATGAACATGAGTCATTATATGAAAAGGGTGGGAGGTGGGGTTTTTAAGCCTGTGAAGAACAATATGGCTTTGCATTAGAAAAGGCTAGGAAAGCGCCCCAGTATTATGGGATGCTTTTTTAAGAAAAAAAATCTGAGGTTTCATTTTGGCCAACATTTTAAATGCCCCACAGACATGCAAACTCTCGCAATACAGTAGTATAAGCTCAAAAACAAGATTATTATTCATGTTTTATTGTGCTGCACAAAGTACACTGTAACCTATATTAAGTACCCAAGGGAAAATGAATAAGGGAATGAAGATTAAATTTTTTCACATTTTATATCAATAGCACATTTTATATTATCTGGCATATTCTGCATTAGAACTGAAGGAAACATTTTCTTTAGAAATAATTCACCGTGGATATCAAATGCATTTTCCTTTTTCTCTTTTTAAATTTTTCAAGTTCTTAGAAGAAAATCAATCTGATTCTTACAATTTTATCAATTCTTCATTTTATGCAAAGAAATAATATGCTAATCTTCTAAAATTATTTTTAGGCAGAAGTCACCATGGGGCAATTCTCATTGGATAAAATGAGAAAGAATCTATATGCCTATATAACCATAATTTGCTACAATTGTAAGAATATGGTTAAGCAAGAAATCAGAACCGCATGCCAAGAAGAATTAACCTCTTCTCCGTATTCAGGACGTTCTTGTTAGTGCGAAATCGTATGTGCACACTCAGTGAAGATGCCTTTACTTCAGGTTCAGCACTCAAAGGGTAACCTCAGTCAGACCTGAATGTGCCCAGGAGAACAAGAGCACTGGTTGCCCTAGGAAACGGCTTAGCACAATGTGTTGCTTATTTTTCATTTATCAGTTATTAAACAGGAAAAGATATAAATTTCAGCATAAATTGTTGTTTTATTACACTAAATTCCATTTACAAGGACTTCATTCATGAAGAAGCACTGCTTTGGTTGGCTGAGCAGTCAGATGTCTGTGCTTACAATTCACGTATATGCTTATTATGTACATTGAGTGCACTCTCCTAATTCCTGTTGCCACAGCCAGACTGTAAATGCATATGTTTTTGTCATTCTTAACCACAGTAATTCAGAACTTCAGCTGCCAAGTTTGGTGCCAATATTCTCACATATGCAGTTCATGCTCCATTCTTAAAATAATTCCTTGTTTGCTGTCAGAAGCTCCTGCTATGATACATAAAATGGCAGGATCAATTTCTTTAAAATCTAAAGCTCTAACTCAATACAGCTATGATGTATTTCTTTTTTCTTCTTGAAAATATTCCCTTTCCTATCTTCCCTTTATTTAGTAATTATAAACCCTGATCAAACAGTAAAACAGCAGAATGTTTTACATATCAACAGACCACAAATAGCAGTGTTTTCAAGGAGGAAATGAAGGAAAATCTCAGTACATGCTAGACCATCCTTTGGGGCACTGTCATTTTAAATGTGGAAGCATCAATTGTTTTTCCTGTGTTGAAAGGTCTACACATGTAAAGGTTTTATGAGCAGACTAAGAAAATAAGCAACTGTTTATCTGTATCATTAATCCCATAGGATACTAATCTGTGCTGGTTTTAAAACACCAGAAAATTCTGGGTGTGAATATTATGGTTTAATATTTCAAGTGAGTCAGAGTTGTTCTGTGGTTGAAGAGCACTGAGACCATACTTCAGGTTCTCAATTGCATATTTCCCAGGGTCAAAGACTAGCTTTATTTCAAAATCCTATAATCTTAGAGTCTCAAGAAATTGGGTGGTTCCCTAGTTCAACATGCTACCCAAAGTTGCAATTTTCCCTTAGGATCCCTGTTTTGATTATTCCATTGAGGGAGTTCCCATGCGAAGGTTCCCAATGGATAGGATGAAGAAAAACTAGAACCTACCTTTTCGACAAGGAGTAAGGATCCAGTGAGCTGGCAAGAAAGCGACAGCGTTGCCAAACACTGAAATCAGACTTCCACAAGAACGGGATTCAGAATTAGCAATCACAAGAGTAAAATATTTAAGACTGGTAGACCCCTACTTCTGGAACCATCCAAGGTCCTTTCATTGGTAGAGAGTTGCTCCCACAATCAGAAGCAAGGTAGCTTTTTTTCAACTGATTTCTTAAAGCAAGAAATGATTCCACTGCTCACAGCAAGGGTTGCCAAGTCAAAGTTTTAAGCATCAAATCTCTTCCTTCTGAAAACCAAGCCAAGGAACCCCCTGGTGGAACTGCTAATGCTTAAAATACTCTAACTTTGGTCTTAAAATTATCACTACGATAATAACATTTCGGTTTTTCTTTTAAAGGTGTAAGTATATAGGCTATCTGTCATTAAAGTCGTAGGATCGTGGCTTGTGGGACTGTATTTTAAGCTCTACTCTTCATCCCGTGTGAAGCCAGCCTTGATCTTCCCGAGAAGGCAAGGGCTCCGAGGCTGAGCGCCCAGCACCTCCCCGGCCAGACCCGGACGGGGTGGCCCGTCCCTTACCTGTCAATGCTGATCACGCACAGTGTCATGATCGAGGCCGTGCAGCACATGACGTCCATGGCGATGAAGACGTTGCAGAAGAAGTGGCCAAAGATCCACTTGCCCCCGATGAGGTCCGTGACGCTGACGAAGGGCATGACCGCCACGGCCACCGAAAGGTCGGCCAGCGCCAGGGACACGATCAGGTAGTTGGAGGGCTGGCGAAGCTTCTTGACGAAGCACACGGAGATCACCACCAGGCAGTTGCCCGCGATCGTCAGCAGCGTGATCAGCGTCAGGATGGAGCCGATCACAACTTTCTCGGCTCTGCCGTAGTTGATTTGCTCTCCGCAACCGGAGACATTGTCCGGGGTCCCGTCCCAGGTGGGCGAGGGGCTAGCCGTCACCTCGGGGACCCCGTTCAGCAGGTGCGGCGTCCAGGAGCTGACTACCGGATCGGCGCCACCGTCGGGGCTCAGGTCCGGCAGCCCGCGCTCAGGCAGGAGGATGGAGCGGAGGTGCCCGTACAGGTCCGGGCGGCCGCTGCTGTTAACGTCCATCATCGTGCCGCTGTGCACCGATGCCCATGGAGCCGGCGCCCCCGCCACGCGCTCGGCCGCCAGTCCCCGGCTTCACCTCGCCGGTTCCGCTCCGCGGGGCCCGGCCATGGGGCCCGCGCTGGCCGCTGGGGGGCGCCCGCCTCGGCCTCGCGGACCCGCACGTCCCAGGCCCCCAGCCGCTGCGGGGACGCCCTGAGTGAGGCGCCGCGACACCCGACGGAAACGGACGCCAGCGACGCGCGGGCTCGCGGATGGGCCTCGGCCGGGCGCGCCGCAGCCCGCAGCGGGGCGGCCAGGAGCGCGCGGCGGCAGCCGCAGAAGTTGCGGAGTCCGCCCCGCCCCTCGCGCCCGCCGCCGCCGCCGCCGCCGCCGCCGCTCCCCTGCGGCAGTTGTGTAGCGTCCCCCCCGCTGCCGCCGTTGCCGCCGCCGCCGCTGCCAGCGCCCCTGGGACGGGCTTTCCCGGCTGGGCAGCACCGCAGCCGCTCCCGCGCCTCCCCACTGCGCGGGGGGTGGCGCTGCGCGCGCCTCCCAGGATCCCGGCCAGGCTCCTCGCCCAGGGACCTCGCCTTGCCGCAGGAGACTCAGACCCCCTCCCACAGGGCAGTCACCAGCCTCCTCCCAGTAGCAAATGATTTGATGGGGGCTCTTTTCTTTCGAAAGGACCTGGGGGTCAGCGGACGTTCGGACTCATTGCGAAGTGAAGAACCTTACTGGGGGATTTTTTTTCTTTCATTCTTTCCCTTTTTTTTTTGTAATTAAAAAACCCTTTTCAGAACTAAAGGAGGAAACAGATTCTTCCCTTTCCCATTTTAAGCACTTATGGGAGGAAGCGAAGATAGGAAAGGCGAACCAGTCAACTGGAGTGGAGTAGGAGCTCAGATGAAAAAGAAGACAGGAAAAGGAGAGAGGGAAACCTTAAGATCCTGGCACCAAGAAGGAGCTGGGGGCTCTGACCACGGCCCGCATGAGGAGTTAAACCCTTTCTAACTAACCTTCCAGGCATCTAGAGACAGACCTCTCAGATCTGAAAAGAAAGCCTGGCTGCCTTTATTTATATTCAATCTTCAAAGCCTAATATATTAAAATGAGAGTTCATTTTTCCCACGACATTCTGGAAATCTTGTATACAAGCAAAGAAATGACCATTTATAATGTTCTGCAGAAGAATCCTGGAGCTGTATGTTGATTTAATACCTATTGCCTAAGATCCCCTTTGGTATTCAAACCCTGTCACTGTGGCTGTTTTTATTATTTGTGAGATTTGCTTCATTCCGTTTTGTTTAAAGATTCTATTGAAGCCAGCATTGATTTCTTTGGTTTAAGAATCCAAAAATAATCAAATCTGTTTTCTTTTCTAGTTAGGCCCTGGTGGATTATAAATAAGAAAAAAAGGAACAAATATCTCAAAATGTATTGATCTGAGTGCTGAATAATCTCATTCTTCAAAGTGGAAAGTAACCCTGTTTTTGCAGATAAGGAAACAGAGTTGTTATTGCAATCAACTGGTAAGCATTAATTATGTTTCGAATTCAGGCTTTTCTGATTACTGTGCCTATATTCTTTCCCCTATACACTGAAAAAAAAAAATTTAAGAGAAAAAAATTTCCCCTAAATGGCAGGGTAATGTTCATAGCTCCTTCACTGTGACCAACAATTCAGGGGGTCCCCTGTGCCTGGGATGAACAAAGCAATTCATTGAGTCAGAGAAAGAATAGAAGATAATGTCTAGCTACAACGCAAGCCATATTATTTAATACTTCAGAGAACAGATGAAGTTTCTTCAACATTATGGTAGCACAGTAATATCAAGTAAAAGAAAAATAATTTGTAGCTGAAGCGCATCTAAGAAGCCATTTGTTCCCCTTCTATATAAAAGACGAAGTAAAAGCTGGGTTCCAAAATTTAAATTTGTCCACGATCATATGTGGCAAGATCAAATGTCTCAATTTTTGCTTTTGAGGTTTAAAATTGTCATAAGACCTCCTAAAAGTTCTTTAAAGTGGTACATTTCTCAAGACACCTTTGACTTTTCTTTTTTAACTTTTAGGGCCAATTTTCAGTTTTACCTAATTGACTTTTAATATTTTTTCCCTTGAGTGCGTATCTTGACTCTTTTAAATAATATTCCACATTAGTGGATTACACAGATTTTGAAGTAAAGTTCTATTTTTATTTGAATTCATAGTCAGTATAATTCCCCACTCACATTCTTACCAACATTTAGCCCATGTATAATTTCACAGTAGCTCTGGTTCTTGTTTTTCCTTTGTCCTAATCCATTAGGGCTGCTATAACAAAAATACCGTAAACTAGGTAGTTTAACAACAAACGTGTATTTCTCATATCTTGTGGCTGAGAAAGCAAAGGTCAAGGGACTAGCAGTTTCAGTGTCTAGTGAGGCCCAGTATTCTAGCTCATAGACAGCCATCTTACGGTGTCCTCACAAAGCAGGAGAGAGTGAGAGAGCGCTCTTGAAACTCTTGTGTGAAGGCACTAATCCCATTCATGAGAGTTCTGCCTTCATGACCTAATCACCTCTAATGGCCTCACCTAACATCATTCCACTGGGCATTAGGATTTCAACTTACAAATTTGGAGAGAAAAAAATGTTTAGTCCATAGCAACTTTTAAATTTTGTGACATATAAATGCACCAAATAATAATCATTAAATACTATTTTCAAAATTACTTTCTCTCCCATTGCCCATATAACATCAGGTCCAGACTTACTTCCCTTTGTTCTATAAACAATCACCTCTGTTGTATTACCCCTGGTGATGGCTGAGTGCATTTCTTAAAAGTTGCTAGGTTTTTAATTTATAAGCTGTCACAATGCATAAACATAATTATTGAAAATCTTGGCTTCTGCAGCATTACTTTGCTTATTGTTGACTTTAAATTTCATCTATCATTGTATTATTCTGAAATCCTGACAGACCAATCTGGAATTCTTTCTGTTTTCCTCTAGCCTTCCCTAACAAATAATTGTATCCTCATAAAAATGCTAATATTTCACATATATTTTTCCGTGCTTTTCTCACAAAGAAAAACTAAAGATAAATCATCACAAAATATTCATAAAATATCAAAACATTCATTTTCAAAGTGAAATTTGCTGTTCATTTTGCCCTTAGTTTCCTGGTGTTTTAAAATCTGTATCAAGGTGCTGCTTCCTTTACTCCTCCCCTTGCCTCCCTATTCTTTGGCAGTTATACTGCAAATAGTAAGTGAAGTGTTGGCATCTAAATCAAATCATATCTTCAGTTTTTATTCTTTTTACTTCTTTCATTAAGAAAACTGTCTTAAAAACTACCAATTCTCATCTAGAACCTCATTTGCCTATAACAGCTTTCTCATAAAATTGCCTGTAAGGGTACCTGAGAATACAGCTTTCTGATGTTTCCAACTGGCAATCTCCTGTTCCAAAAACTGCTCTGGGGAGTAAAGAAGAACAGCAGAGTCCTACAACATGAATTATCATCTTTTTATAAGCCCTTCTTCCTTCTAGGTACTCATCTAGCTCATCTAAATGCATAGCTTCATGATATCTATGCAAACCCTCACATGCCCATCCACAGGACAGAAGCGAGTTTATTTTCCCATAAAGTAGCACACTCTGGCAATTACATTTACTTAAAGAACACAAGTGAAATAAAGCTTCCTCTGCCCAGAGGGTTTACTGGCAACTTCTGGGTTAGTCAAGCGTGCTGAGGTCATCCCTGCGCAGGTTCCTATAACTTGCCATGCCCAAGGCAGCAGACGACCTACTCTCACTTCTCCAGATTTTTTCAGTCTCTCACTTTTTTACATCATTCTCTCACTGAATGGATGTAACATTATACATCAACATAAGTAAGGTAATGCTGCAGAGGCCAAGATTTTCAATAGCTATGTTTATGCATTATGACAGCTTATAAATTAAAAATCTAGCAACTTTTAAGAAATACATTCGGCTATCACCAGGGATAATATAATAAAGGTGATTGTTCTGTAAAAAGTGAAGCCTGGACCTTATATGGACAATGGAAGAATGAGAGAATGTATGAAAAGAGACTTGAAAAGCTAGAATGCCTAAGTGGATGTTCAATGAATTGAGTTTCCTGTAATTCAAAATGTCTGGAACTGAAAATGTTTACAATTTCAGATTTTTCCAGATTTTGGAATATTTCCATATACATAATGAGAAACTATACCTGACTTATTTTTTCAGGCATTCAGTAAACATGTGCAAGCTACATATAAATAGGCACTGTGATAGGTTCTGAGATGGATAATCCCTTTTGTATTTCAGATTTTCCCAGATTGACCTTTTCATAAATAATGAGATATCTTAGGGATGGGACCTAAGTCTAAACATGAATTTCATTTAAGTTTTATATAGATATACCTTATACACAAACCCTAAAAGTAATTGTATACAGTATTTTTATTGCACCTGTATTTTGAGACCTGTTGCATAAGGTCAAGTATGGAATTTTTCCACCTGTGACATCATGGTGGCACTCAAAAAGTTTCAGATTTTGTTACATTTTGTGCTTCAGAGTTTGAGATTAGGGATGCTCAACTTGCACTAAGATTATTGTACATAAATATCCAAATACCACCCTGTGGCTACAAGTGGGGCACAGATGAAAACACACATCAAGGGACAAGGACTTAAATCAGTCAGCAGAGATATTTTGGCTGTCCATTTGGGATAAAAGCAGTTAGCTTGGGACACGAAAATGTCCTCTGTGACAATCCCCATCACGATAGCTAGTCTCACATTTTGTAGCCTTTTAAAGCACTTTTTTCATATATTTATTGTAGTATTATTACATTATGCTTTCTTTATATTTTCACAACTGTCTTTCCCATTAGACTGTGAATTCCCCAAAAACATGGATATTTTCTCATTCCTGTTCATACTAGATGTTCAATAAATATTTTTCATGAAATATTCAAAATGAAGTAGGTATAGAATAACGCTTGTAACCAAGAGTCATTTGTATTTTAAAATAATGTCCCTGCCTACATTGTGAGTTACTTTTATGTTTTCTTCTATTTGGAAGATTTTCATTCTTTACAAATTAAGTGTAATCTTTAAAAAATTTCCTCCAAACAAGATGAATAATAAATAAGAGAACAGATACATTCAAGAGTACTATTTATTTTATTTATTAATTATTCAATTTTTTAAAACCAGGACTGTTTTTGAAATGCAAGCGAGGCACGTACACCCTCTAGTGGAGAATCTAATTAGCAATGGAATTTTACAAAAGGAATTTCTATGGAAAGATTTTGTCAAGGAACAGCTGGACATTGTCACCTCCATGGTCCAAATCTAAATCTTCTAATGAATAGAAAAATTCAGTTTCTCAATGAAAAGAAGGTAGATAAAAGTAGCAATCTCTTATTGATTGAGTTAACATTAATTATTGAATATCAAATGCAGACCATGTATTGTTTTAGGGGTTTTTTGTTTTTTGTTTTTGTACCAGGGATTGAACTTGGGACCTTGCGCTTGTGAGACAGGCGTCGGAACCACTGAGCTAAATCCCCGGCCCAGGAGTTCTTTTTTTAAAAAGGACACATTCAGTTTTAGATTCTATAGAATATTCAAGTGCAGATGTCGGGGAGGCAGATACAACTTCAAGTAAAGATCTCTCAAGAGAAAGTAAAGATAGACAAGCGGCCTGAGGATTCAACTCTGTGTTGCTCCAATATCCTGAGGTCAGGGAGAGAGAGAGACACCAGCAAAAACTAAGGAGAGGCCAGTGAGTGAAGAGAACTGAGGAAAATTGAGTGCCTAAAATCAAGGGAAGAATATGTTTCAAGGAAAAGAAAAAAATGAACTATTTCAATGGAATGATGGGGGTAAAAGCTGGTTGGAATGGATTCAAGGGACAAAAAGAGAGAAAATGGCAATTCAGAGAGTGAACCACATTTGGAGTAGTTTTACTCAAAAGGGTACCAGTAATTGGGGCAGAAACTAAAGAGACATTGATATTTAAAGAGAATCAAAATAGCAAGAATAAAGGCTTTCATTGAAGGATTATTACATCTTATTCTACATTTTCCAACCCTTTTAGGATTTGAGAACCCTCCTATATTCTTCAAAATAATATTTGAATGCAAAATTGCCAGGCTAGGGGTGTAGCTCAGTGATAGATTTTGTGCTTAGCATGCACAAGGCTGTATATTCTATCCCCAACACACACAGGCACACTCACACAATTCTGTCCCTGTTTTCAGGCAAAACTATACCTGATCTATTCTATTCTTTCGGTCATTCAATAAGCATGTACCTGCTGCATGGTAATAGGCCTTGTGCTAAGTGGGAGGGGTGGACAAATACGGCAAGTTCTCAGCTCTGGAGATATTCCCTGCCAGGTGGAAGAGACAGACAAGTAAATAATTACCATGCAATATGAAAAGCCTCTCAATATAGGTATAAACCAAAGATAACCAAGCCCAGAGGAAAGAGACATTAGTTGTGCCTGGAGAGACAAAGAATTCACAGAGCTAACATTTCAACACATGCAGAAAGTTCATCTGAAGTCTGGAAGAAAAGAGTGAGATGCCCACAAGTACTATAAACACATGGAAGGTTCATCATATCTGGATGGTGTAAAATGCATTGGAAAATGGTAGACCTGTTGAGACAGATCATAAAGAAACCTGTGCACCATGCAAGGTAGGTGTGAATTTTACTCTGAGCAAGAAGTATCTGATTATTTTTCTAAAATCAAATTAAATATGACCCTGAGCCCTCATCCTATTTATCTGATGGAAATACCACTCCAGTCATTAATGTGGTTTCCTGTGCCTCTACCTCAACCCCTAGGCTGCCTGATGAACCTGGAGTCATACCCAAAGCAGGATATTCCAGGATGTTATTCTGTTCCTCATTGGTGTCAAATCCAGCATAGCCTCACAGAGCAACACCTCAGCTCCTCAGCCTATCAGATGCATGGGAACCTTGACTGAAGCTGGACACTGAGGTTTAAGGCTTTATCTTTCCAGGAACATTCCCCAATAAGCTTACCCACTTCCTGAAGGTTCCTAGTACCAGAAGAAAGCTAAACCATAAATTTGCTATAGTCAGAAAATCATTCCTTTTCCTTCCCATGTGCCTTTCTGAAACATCCCTCAGAAAAAGATGAGGGGAGGGGAGGAGAGGGAAGGGGGGAAATATCACTAATACACTACCCCTACAATTACCTCACATGTATACTTTAATTTTACTACTCTGAGATTTTGCCCTCCAGCTTACATTTAGTAATGTTAGAAACACCTACTAGTGTCACAACTGGAGGAATACTACTGACATTTGGTGGGTAGAGGAGTCAGATGCTGCAAAACATATTACATGGACATGACAAACCCCACAACGGTGCTATCTGTTCCAAAACATCAGTAATGCTACAGTTGAGAAGCCATGCTGTAGGCCACATATTAAGCTGAAAATGCACAATGTGAGAAATAAAGTAGTTAAGTTTTTAAAAACAATTCAGCATTTACTTGCTTTAGACTGGAAATTTGATACTTTTTTTATCCTGAACCAAAAGAAGGGCAGAGGTTATTTTGTTATCATCATCATCATTATTATTTTGCATTACTGTATACAGAATTTTGCTTTGAATCTTCAACTGGAAAAATATTTAGTTTTATTCATTTTTATAACCAAAGACTATTGTAAAGAAATACAAATACGTATTAAAATGGTTACATTTTTTACATGATGGATCTTATATAAAAGATAATGATTTTTAACTTACAAGAGCCCAAGTTTTTTTCCCAAGCTCCTTTTAAATGAAATATTTTGTAATATTCCCTTTACTATTTTGAATCAAAAATAAATAATAAATAAGTATGAATTTAAGTATGTGGGAGCTTGTATCAAAATGTTAGTTGCTTTTATCTAATTTTCATAAATGTTTAGATTTATGTTAACTAAAAATTGTCCATACTTCTAATCAATATGTACTATTTTGAAGGGATAAGTATACATCTATATACATATATGCTCACATATTTTATATACCTACTTAAACTCCTCAGAATAATACATATTAATTGTGATATATATATATATATATACACACATAGGGATCACTGTGAATGTGACTGCTGTATATGTGACAATACATAGATATGCTGTATAGTCAATTCAAACAATATGAGCAGTGTTGCCACAGTGATGATTCTCTGAAATTGCCAACAGCTCTTATTAGAGTTCTCTTATTTCTTTTTTTTTTTTTTTTTTTTTTTTGCGGTACCAAGGATAGAACTCAGGACCTTATGCTTGCAAGGCAGGCACAGTGCCACTGAGCTAAATCCCTGGCCATAGAATTCTCCTATTTCTAACCAATGCTTACAGTTCCAAACAAAGCAAAGTAGTTTTCCCTGTATTAATTCAATAGTTACACTCCTAGAAAATTCTGTGCATGTTAAAATTATTTTTTAAATCCTGTGTATTTATATGTAAAACAAAGTTATATTCTAGGCCCTGATAATGATAAACAGCTTTTCCTCTACACAAACTCCTGGCAGAACATTTGGATAAAGACATCCCTATACCTTGCAAGATGATTAGCATTCCTGACCCCTTCTCCCACAAAGCTACCATCACCCACCCCAGTCCACCATTATTTTGACAATAAATGTGGAACATGCTATTGTGATAAGCAAAACAATGACTAAACAAATCTTCAAATGCCTTCCCTATTCAGGGTCGATGGAGAGAATGAAACAGGGAGAATCAACAATGTCATAGGGCATTGATTTAACCACTTACTGGTCCAATTATTTAAATACAGGATGACCAAAAATTGCATTTTTGTTATTTTTTAATAAGATAATATGAAATATAAAAATAACAATTTTATCAAATGTATTCAATAATTTTTCTGTGTATGGTATATTTTAAAACATTCAATACACCATGCAACATTACAATCTGAACAGTAGTATCTAGTCTCTTTCCGAATTTTTGTATTATTGTTTTTGAACAACACACTTTACACTGTCGTGTTGGCTTTTCCATTTTTCTGGGGATGTATAATTTCAGTTAAAAAACTACCCACTAAACATAATGGTGAAGATGTCAATGGTGGACTTAAGGTTGGCATTTCACTATCCCATATTTTTAAATTGTTTGGTCTATTAGACCTAATCTAAGTTGCAAATTACTTTTGGAATCCTCTTGTTTTGAATACATAACAAATGAGTTTCGTATTGTTTGGTCCAGAAGGTACATAAACATTTTATAATGATATTTTTTCCTTGCTTTTTGATTACAGGATAGCTTGTTAGATGTTGATCAACTCTGTCAACACCACCCATAAAATTATTATAATCATTGACAACTATTGGAATTCTTTTAGTCTTATTCTTCTTTCGAATTCTATCATTTCTGTATTATGAATAGTTGAAAATAAGGAGATGTCTTTTTTGTCTTTCCATTTCACAACACACTTTTCTTCTCTGATACACTAACATTTCTTCCTTTTTCAGTTTTTTCTTTTGCAAATCTTTTGGCACTTCCTTCCTAGTCAGCCTCAGTGTCCCAAATGTGTCCATTTGTACTGTAAAAGAATATCACTAAGTTATGGAGAAATATAAAAATTTTATCTAATGTACTTATGATAAGAATTTTTATAGACTGTAGCAGAAAATTATAGGTTATTTTTTACAAATAAACACTAATTACTAAGAAAAACTCAGAACTTATTAGATTTTACTAGAAACAAACATCAAAGGCAAATACAATGTTCTAAATTAAAAAGAATACAAAAAGTAGTCAATATAAAGTAAACCAATGCATGAGTGTATCTCATGCAAATAAGAATCGACTGGTTGAAATGACACTTGAGTGATCCTCAGGATAGTATGTAAACAAACATGCCACTCAAGTAATGCTTGGGGTAAACTGTTAAGTGGTTAAAGCAGAGTTCATAAAAAATTTCTGTAAAGTAGTTATAAAGGCTTCTAAACCACCTGATCAGGTACAGTCACAGCAGTGACCCCCCCTCCTGGCACTAATTTTCTGTATTAGTCACTATCCCATCACAGACAAAATTCCCAACATCTGCAACTTAAAGGAAGAGAAGTTTTATTTTGGTGAATCCTTTCCAAGAGTTTATTCCAAGATTGGCTAGATCCAAGGCATAAATGACATGGTGGGAAGGCTTAGTGGAGGAAAGCTATTCACCCCATGACAGCCATGAAGCAGAGAGAGAAGAAAAGAGGCAGGAACAGAAATACACCCCTCCATTTCACTCCCCAACACAGTGACCTACCTCCTGTGACCAGGACACCCATTTCCTAATAGCACATTCATTAAATCACTGGGGCACTATGATCTAATTACAACCCCCAAATCCTCATCTCTGAGCACATGGAACTTTGGGGGGTCATTTTAAACTACATATATGATACTACAACTTTGTTGAACTCATTAACGCTGTTAGTTTTGTATGTGGATTCTCAAATGTTTTCCAAATATGAAGTAAAATCATCTGTGAATAGGCATAATTGTACTTTCTAATTTGAATCAGGATGTTTTTTATTTCTTCTTGCCTGATTGATCTTGCTAAAAAATTCTAGTATAATGTTGGATACCAATGGCAAAAAGTGACCATCTTTGTCTTTTTCTTGATATTAGGGGAGAAGTATCAGTCATTTACATTCAATATAATGGTATTTGTGGATTTTTCATAAGTGCTCTTTATCAAGTCAAGAAAGTTGCTTTGTATTCCTATTTTGCTAAATGTTTCATTATGAAAGAGTTCAGATTTTGACAATTTCTTTTCATCTCAATTGAGATTATCTTGTGGATTTTTTTCTTCCTCCTATTAATGTAATATATTCTATTCATTGAGGGTTTTTATTTTGTATCACTTTTGCATTCCTAGAGTAAATCTCACTTGCTCATGGTGCACGATGCTTTGTTTTAATATGTTGTTTAATGTGGTTGGTTAGCATTTATTATTTTGACATCTATTTTTGTAATGGATATTAGTTTCTTTGTGAAGACTTTGTCTGACATTGCTACCATGGCAATGCTGGCCTAATGAATGTGTTCCATCCTCTTCTATTCTTTGGTAGAACTTACAAAAGTTGGTGTGAATTCTTTAAACCTTTGATAAAATTCACTAATAAAACCAGTATCTGGTCCTTGTTTTGTTGTTATTATTTTATTTATTCTTTTGGGGTATGAAGACTTCTTCAATTACTAATTTATTCACTTGTCATAAATCTACTCAGACTTTGTTCTTCAATCAGTTTCAAGTAGATTATGTAATTTGTCACAGCATTCTTTCATAATTCTTTTTTAATACAGTTACATTTTAAAACATTTTAAAAGAAAACATGAAAAAGAAATATATTGGTATTTCATTTTTAATTATTTATATAGTCATCTTTATCTGTGTTCATTTTTTATAGATCCTTAGTGGTTTTTAATCATAATCCAGCTGTTAATCTTATAGAAAGCCACTTGTATATGATGAGTCATTTTCCTCTTACTGCTTTCAAGATTCTCTTGCTTTTGACTTTTGAAATCTGTCTTAGTATAGCTTGGAGTTTTTTGAGCAGTTTAGATGCATAGACTCATTTTTTTAAATCAAACATGAGAAGCTTTTGGCCACTTTTCCAGATATTCTTGTCCTTTTCTCTCCTTCTTATTTTGATATTTCCATTATGTATATGTTGGTACATTTGATGATATCTCTCTAGTTTCTTAGATTATGTCATTTTTTTTTCTTTTTTCTCTTAGGCCAGTATATGTCAATTGACCTATTTTAATGTTTACTCAGTTCTGCCTTTTCATTTCTGTTGGTGAACCCCTTTAATGATTTTTTTTTAATTTCAGGTATACTCTCTTGCTCCAGAATTTCTGTTTGGTTCCTTTTTCTAATTTCTATCTGTTTAGTGATATTCTTTTTTTGTGTACCTCATATTTTTGGTGAAAGATGGATAGTTTGGATATTAGAATGTGGCAACTTTAAAAATCAGATTCTCTCCCCTCTTTTGTTGTTACTACTATAGTTGCTGTCATTTATTTTGTTATTATTCTGAGCTAATTTTATAAAATCTGTATGCTTTGTTATGTGTGGCCATTAGTTTAATGGTCAGCTATTGATTTTCCAGAGTTTACAAAGTGGCTAGAACCAAGAGTTTGCAGAATTAGATCCAGTCTTTACAGTAGGTTCTGTTAGTGTGTTGACTCATAGCTTTAAATTTCAGCCAGACTGTTTACATATTTGCCTTAGCTTTCACTTCCTACTTAGTCAGCACCTAAAGGTCAGCCAAAGATGAGTGCTTTGGGCCTTCTTGGGTCTTTGCTGTGCATATGCACAGCTTTCTATATTCCCAAGAATATGTTAAATCATTTCAAAGTCTTTTTTTCTGCGTTTTTTTTCCTAAGCTTTTTGTTAATCTATTGTTTATCCAAACTATTCTTTGCTCCAGGTATCGGTGATTGCAAATATTTCCCACAAATGCCTCCTGCATAACCATCTCAGCACTGTCAGCGTCATGGCTTAGGAAAAATAAAGGCAAACCCTTTAG